TTGGTAACACAGCTAGGCCTAAATATGAAGAAAATATTAATTCTGCCAGATCAACGTAAGTTCATGGATGCGTTCTTAAACATTTTTATGAGGACCTGAATGGTGTATATTCCTGTACGTCATACACAAAAAGAAATACTCAGAATCTTTAAAAAGTAATATCCCCTCATTACATAACAGTTTACTAGAGCAGAAACTGTTCTAGTCTAAACTCAGTGTTGCTTAAACACTAATACGTTTTAAGTCACTACCAGATTTCATAAGGGATTTCTATCTGAGATCAAAACCAATGTAGTTTGATTATAGAGTGTGTAAAAAATGTATTTTCCTCATAGTAAGATTTTCATAACTTCTCACTTCTACTCCTCTACTGTGGCAAATTGCCACAGTAGATAAAGAAAAGCACTTGGTAAGGACTGTTAAAGTGTTCGAGGAACAAAATGGTTTCAACCTGTCTAAATTCAGAGCATAGGGCACACAATATATATTTTTCCACTCATTTCAAGTGCACAGCTGAGTTCAGAACTTTACTTTAAGAAGGCAGGTATGGCCACATTGCATAAAACCAATGTCCATATAGCTTTGGATTCTTTCTCTACCAAAGGCCTACAACAGATGGCTAGGGGAATAACATAAGAACAGTGCACACGTATATTGATACTCCCTCCAATATATACATTTCTCCATCTCCAAATTCCTAAGCCAGAGACTGCATCTTTGTATTTTTATAACACTCAATGAGTCCTATGAGCATCTACACAAATCCTGTCTTTCCAGATTATAGAACCTATGCAAGTTATTATCACTTTCTGTGAGGCCATAGAGAAATACAGGTACTAGAAGATGAAGTGCTCCCTTGTTCTTAAAAGAAATTTCTAAGCAAAAAAGTAGCATTGCATCCAAAGTCCAGACAGTGACAGAGTTACAGATAGACAGACAGATAGATACGCAATTTGTAGTGTTGCAATGTATGAGCATATAATACAGGCCTTAATTACAGTCTTCTTTAAAAAGAACGCATTACATATTTATTGCATAAATTAGTTACGTTTATATATAAAAGCTCTGTAAAGTCATTCTCATGCCTATATGCTTCATGCTTTTGTCCTAATTGCTTATTGTACCGTCATAAAAACTAATCACTTGGTAAAGTCAGAATGAGTCAGTATTAAAAGGACAGACTCCTGATTCAGTACCTTGTGTTCTAACTACAAAACCACACTGCAACTTTCCCACTGTAAAATCCAGCCAACAATTCTCCCAAATTTCCTGGGAAAATTTTCACTTTTTTAAAGGAAAATAGGATCATCAAATTTTTTAATTCCTTCATTTTCTTACTTACCTGACATGCTGGGGAAAAAAAAACCAATGAAAAAAAAAGTGCAGCTTCTACCAATTAAAAAAAAGCACTCCTCATCCAAAAATTTTTTTTTTTTTGCATTCAAAGCACCTGACACAAAACAGTCCAACCTATCTGTGACTTTTGACTTCTAGGTGTGATGTGCAACTGCAGTAAAATGTATTAAACAAGTTACCTCTGTGAGGGATCCACAGGGCACTCCACCATGCAAGACTTTATCCAAACTATGCAGCGTGGTGGATAAAAAGGCTGAAGAGGGATTGGCAGACTTCCTCAGTTTCATTTCATAAGCCTACAGAAGGAGAGAAAAAAGCAAAAGAAAACAAACACACAAATCAGAAAATGCTTTTTTTTTTTTTAATGGAAATAGCAAACTTCTCGCATTTGCTTTCATCAACCTGGAATGACTTAACACTTGCCAATGAGCAAACCATTCCTATCTTCAGCTATAGCCCTCTTCTTAGTTCATCACCCTTCCTTGCATTTATATCCCATTTATAGCTTACAGAGTAAAATTAAGTTTGTTGTATCTCCCTCACCACAATATTAAATAATAAGCCTTTAATAACGATGTGTCAAAGGTTTTCTCTGCTCCTATTCAACAAGGCTTGCTTTCAACCCATAAAACTCCAACTTTTAAATAAGTAAACACTATATGTATGGTTAATGACCAATGCAGAACACTCACATGAAACCTAAAACCAAGAACTCCCTGGCCAACGTTCACTACCAATTTGAAACTACCTGGGTTGAAGGAAAGGTTTGCTAAAGATTCCCAAGTCTTTGAACAAGCCGGGGCTGATCCTGTAGCCATTCATAATTTCCCACTTTTGTGAGGAAGACTAGTCAGAAAGACAGGACAGGTACAGAACTGAGAATAGTTGAATTCCTAGTTCCTCCACTGAGGAGAGGAACTGGCCCAAGACCAGAATTCTAGTTCATAAGAATTATTTTCATTTGGAGAATCAATTTAAACCAGGCAAAGAAGAAATAACAAAATGGAAATGCTGATCTGGAAACACCAAAACATGATGTTTCCAAAAGAAACAGGTCTTGCTCACACCTTGCAGACATCTGCTAAAACTGACACATTCCTCAATCACCGAGCATCCTGAACATCAGAAGTTTGATTTTTAAAAGGAACAGTCCAAGATCTAAAGGTTGTTGCTCTAGTTATAGTTAAGAGTTTCCAGAGGTTTCAGACGCCTGGCCCAACAATAAAGATTCTCGAAGCCCTGTCACAGCATACTGCCATAACCTGCCATGACTGACCACTCCAGAAAACCTGGTTTCTCTATGCCTGAGAGAAATGCAGGCATCAGATTTATCCCAGTCTTAAGATAGTCTGCTGGGAGTGTGGTGTACTATGGAAGAACCTCCACAGGGAATCATTGATAACTAAGTAAATAACCACACCGTTGAATCCTAGATGTTTTAGTCCATACTTGTTGGGCCAACAAGTGAGCATTTTTTGCTGAAGCTGATCAGAAAAATCTCCAGCTAGTTCTACCAGCAGGCTAAGATACAATAGCTTGTTCCTTCCTTTTTTTATGCTACAGTTCTTCCCTATGTTATGACAGGTAGCATATTAGAATAATATTTTAAATTCATTCAGACCTTCTCTGTTCTTCAGTTCTATTGAGGAGAAATACAAAAAATAGCTTTCAAGACACAGAACAGGCCAATAGAAAAAACAATTAATTTTACCTCACTCTAAAATTTTACCCAGTGATTTCTGTATTTAACACACTGTACTGGTTTTGGATGGGATAGAGTTAATTTTCTTCCTAGTAGCTGGTACAGTGCTGTGGTTTGGATTTAGGATGAGAATAATGTTGATAACACACCGATGTTTTAGTTGTTGCTAAGTAGTGCTTACACTAGTCAAGGACTTTTCACCTTCTCGCATTCTACCGACGGAGAAGGCTGGAGGTGCACAAGAAGCTGGGAGGGGGCAGCCAAGGCAGCTGACCCAAACTGGCCAAAGGGATATTCCATACCATGCGATGTCATGCTTAGTATATAAACTGGGGGGAGTTTATATACTCCCGGGGGGGAGCATATACTACAACCGGGGGGCGGTGACCGCTGCTCAGGAACTGGCTGGGCATCCGTCGGCGGGTTGTGAGCAATTGCATTGTGCATCACTTATTTTGTATATTCTTTTATCATTATTATTATTATTATTATTATTCTT